TTATGGGCATACTTGTCATTCCATCTTAATAAAATAGAATATTTTGGAATCTTTCTTTAATTTTGTCTTGCACAAGTGGAATGAGTATTGCATATAGCCGCAGCCTTTACAAGCGGGTTAGTTTCTAAAGTAAACATTAATATTCACTTAACTCCCTAACTGGTGTGCAAAGTCCGAAAAACCCTTCACTTTATTTTGAATTACGTGCAAATTCTGACACACCCTTCCACACACTTTTCACGCGTAGGTTGGGAGACACGCTCCATGCATTTTTAACTATCGTTAGCCAATCAATTTTCAAACCATTATCTAAGCGGTTTATAAGCAGTTCTTCCTAAGTAATTCTTCAAATTTATCGGTTTTCTTTTCTTGTATAAATAACCACAACTAGGCGGAAAGCATTAAGGCAACAAAGGAAACTAAAGTAACAATTTTCGAAGTAGAAGAATGGTGGGGGCAAAGCAGGAGAAGGAGAAACAAAGATTTTTTATTTATTTTTTCTTTTGAAGAAATCGATTCTGAAATTTGTTGTTTTTTTTTTTGGTGAGGTTTGAAAAAAACAAACTGCATGTTCTCATATTGAATGATTTTGAACATTTCCAGTAACGAGTTGTATTCAGCGACGAGATTGAGGTTTTCTCAAATAAAAAAATCGAACAACTGGTTCCAATATATGTTGTTTTCTTGTTTATGTTTGCAAAAGCTGTTTATTTGCTATTGAATTGTATGTTTCTGAACACTTTCACTCTTGGGTATCATTTATCTGGCACATTAGTATTTCCCCACATTATTTTTGGTCCTAACAAGAGTTTGATTTTGGACATTAGATGTGTTTAAATAATATAAGTATTATTACACAATGGTAGTGTTGTTGTTAGAAGTATCAAAACAAGGTAATGAAATTTCTTCAGATGTAAGTAAATAGTATATATTGATACATGAAATTGAAAGTACAATTACAATAACTACATACATTATTATTTTACAGTTATACTTTTGCTGATTATTATTTTTTCTTTATAATCGTAATACATTTGCTGAGAATAATGCGCAACAAGCTTGTAAATGCTCTCCTAGTGCCTTCAAAGAAGAAATGAACATAATTAAACCAATGATGATGGCCATACATTTTGCTGCCTTGGAGGAAAATCCTTTTGGGCATCTCTTAAACATGCCTATAATGTACCATAGTTTTTTACAGGTGTTAGTTTTATTGAAGAAGACGTACTACATGGAGGAACGTACATTCTGGTTTGGAGGTAAAACTATTCCCGTCGTATTTGACCCTGGGGAATTCTGCATATTATGTTGATGCTTTGAGCATATTTTGAAGGATTTTGAAATTGACTTTTGTCTGCTTTTGTCATGAACAATCTATTTTTTAGGTGTTTTTGGGTTTCGGTATCATGAACAATCTGCTTTTCACTGTCTATTGTATGAACAAGTACTATTAGTTTAGGTTTTCCTTGAGATGATGCTATTAAACATGTACCATTTTTTTGGTATTTTTAAATTTTTTGCACATTGGGTTTTTCATCTCAACTCCCAAGTTGCCTCAATTCACGTAAATGAGTAATGAGATGGTTTTCTATGGTCGTATTGGATCCCAAAGAATATTATAACAAGGTATCATTAGTACAATACATAAACACTATGCATAAGTTACCGTCATACTATGATAGTTTTATGTTGATGCCTACAACCTACCCGGTCTATACCAACAATTAGGGGTGAATACGGGGGGGTTTGGGTGGGTTATGATAAAAAATCAACCCGACCCGATTTGTGCGGGTTGACAAATTAGCAACTGCAACTGCTAATTTCTATACACACACTGCTGGGTTCGGGTGGCGGTCGGGTGGCTTGGCGGGTTCAACAAATATGCAATACCAAAGAAAGTTTTGACAAAATTTAATCCAATTCATTTATCTTCCAAAGAAAATCCTTTCAAAAGAAAAAACATCTTCCAAAAGAAAATGACATCATTCACGAAAGAATTGTCAACCCCTTTCTATTTTTTATAGTTCTCCCAGTGTCTCCTCATTTGCTCATTTTTCCTCTTCATCGTCCATTTTCTATTTTCCTTTTTCTTTTGCTCTACAAACAGTCGGATAGCTTCAGGTCGGAATTTGGCATCACTTTATACTTGCCATTTGGGAAATGAGAATGACAATGGTTTTGAAGCGCGCTCCACCGATATCGTACACTGCTTTATGGCGATCATAACGTTGGTGTAATTTAAATTGAGAAAAAAAGATATTGGCTGGAAAATCAACATGTAAGAGAAGCAACCATGAAATAGATACAAAGAAGAAAAGAAGAGGCGCTCGACAGGTGAGGCGCAAATAAAGTGCAAAACCCTAGATTTCTCTATTTATTTGATATTATATATATTAGTATGAGTTGTATACGGGCGGGTCGGGTGGGTTGCGGGTTGTAATTGTCAAACCCGCTACCCGACCTGTTCTACTCGGGGTGTTCATTTCGCCAAACTGCTGGGCATAATTTTGTAGGTAAAAATTGCAGGTTGCGGGCGGGTCGGTTCGGGTCGGGCGGGTGGAGCGGGTTGGGCGGGTTTATGTTCACCCCTACCAACAATGACGAATACCATAATGTTGATGACTTGAATTGCTCGAATTGTTTTTACACATTTGTGATATATAAGTATGGGAAGGACATATAATACGTTTTAAATGAATGTTGTAAGTTTTTTGCACTTTAGTTTTTTGCCTTTGGGGTCCAAAATGGAACAAATGTGTCAAATTCTTTACAAGATACACTATTAATGTATAAGGCTTGTATGTAGAAGTGATGGTTTTCATCTCAAGTGACCATATTCAACACCTATCAACTCCCAAGTTGTCTAAATTCTGGTAAATGAGTCATAAAATGAATAAATGAGTGATGAGATGGTTTTCCATGATCGTATTGATCCCGAAGGATATTATATCAAGGATACTATTAGTAAAGTACATAATCACTGTATCGTCGGAACCATAATACCTAGATATTGTACAATCTATCTGTATATCGTGCACGTGATATACCGTGCCGTAAAACAATAAATACCATACAGTTGATGACTTGAATTGCTCGAATTGTTGACCCCAAAATGATAACTATATTGTATGAGTATGTTTCTTACGAACAACAATAAATGCTTCATCAAAAGAGTTATTTTATTTAGATGTACCCAACGTTTAACGCGCTACAATACATGACACTAACTTATGGCTCGTACTATTACGGTGATTAATTAAGAAATATTACATAGGTTTGACAAATCGTGTAAACTGCAAATATTATTAGGCTTAACACTATCAAACTTTGAATTACTCCAGCTTCATCTTTGGAATTCTTCACTTTACTTTCTCATGAACTTGGTTCGTCGATCCACTCGTAGCTTCACTTTCTTCATAACGAGAGTAGTTGTGTGAGAAAGTTTTCCCAATTTCAAATGGCTCACACCAATGAGAATATCCATGGTCTAGGCAAGAGTAAAGTAGCCTCCGGGATTCAAACTTGTCTCCGAAACCATGATTATTGTTTTTTTTTCAACAATGAGAATGACCCCTTGTACGAAGAGTAGCATCACCACAATTGTGCTCAAGAATACATTTGCAAATGCCGAATAACTGGTCTGATTTATAAACTGATGCATAAACCTTCTATCTGCAATTTTAAAAAATGCATACGGCTATGATATTTTGTTGATCATATTTTCTTGTGCTTAATGGTTCGATTATTGGCAATGGTTTTTTTTAGCATAAACCTAAAATCATTAGAGTCTCTGAAAATTTGAGTATCCCCACGTATGCAATGTCTCAATGCGTCAATTGAATTTCCAAGAGGGTTGAATTCAATTTGCAACATACCGTTGTTATTGACAATCTCACTTGAAAATGCCAAAAAAGAAAAATTAAACAAATTGCATTATTATATTGGACTACAAATAAATTGTAACAACTGAAATAAATACTTTGAGTGGAATGCTTGAATACGAGAACTTCATTTCTAAGATACTAGACGTACAATCATTCCATACTATCAATATCCTTATATGATAATACGAGCGTAGTTATTCTACACTATCAGTATATTAATACTATACTATTAACTATTATATTCTATGTTACGTTGACAGAAACAAATAAAACATGCATACAAAACAGAATGTGGGCATACTAGTTTTCAGCTCGGGCCCTCTTTCCACGCCCATTTGGTTCATCTCTGTGGCTCACCACAATGTCAACCACACTCATGTGCATTATCAAATGCAATGTAACTGTATTCACCACGTCTTCGTCACAACTCATAATGACAAACATTCTTTCACGTGGAGAGCCAATTATTGGAGCACCAATGTGTCGGGATGGATATCGTCCCACCTCCTTACGATAGACTCATAGTCTCCCTTAAAGTCTCATTCTTAACGGAAATGACGTGCATATTATCTTGGTACCGATAACTTCCAAGAATACTAGTGCGAAGGGGGTTTGATTCACCATTTGCTGTCATTGTGGGAAATTTCAGTTTTTTTTCGCGCTCGGGAAAGAGGCAGTAGCAGAGAATATAAGGAAAGAGAGATGAGAGAGAAAGAGAAGAGAAGAAATGGAAGAAAGAGGAGAGAGTAGAGGAGGGAGAGAGTGTATAAAGTGAAAAAAAGTGCGGCTAGAGACTGAACTACATGTTTATGTTTGCTGTAGGGACTGACCTGCTTGTGAAACGTGACTGGGGATTGACTCGCGTTTTATGTTTGCACTTGGGATTTATCGGTACAAACCCCTAGGAAATTCATTATCTTCTAAGCCGTCTTTAAAATTCGTAAAAGGGAGTTTTATGTTTGCACTTGAGGATTTATCGGTACAAACCCCTAGGAAATTCATTATCTTCTGAGCCGTCTTTAAAATTCGTAAAAGGGAGAGATAGTGAGTGTGTGTCATTCTTTCTTCCCCATATGTATGTATGCTTTGTACGTGTATTAATATGAGGACGAAGGAATCCAGACTTCTACGGTTTTACCACGTATGTAACATTCATTACAAAAGAAGAAAGTAACCAAAAACTAGTGTACTTGTTCTTGATTTGGGTCTCGTTCAAATGACGTACTTCTACTTCTTCTCGATTAGAATTTAAATAACAGAACCATAAATTTAAATCGAAAAAACCCTGGTGGGTGGTTGCACACCTCTTCAAAAACCCAACACTTGCGAACAAGTAAAAAATATGTGAAGTTGAGCATATATACGGTGCCTGACAATTCAAAAATAGTAAAAATCCGGCACCCCGAAAAAAAAAACGATTTCCTCAAATATTATCAGTCCTTGGCAGCACCAGCTTAAGTGGGTGGAAGAGTGTCTTGCATGATCTTTGGCGTAATGAAACTGAAATGCTGGACAGAGATATGGCCATTGTTGTACTCTGGATATGAAGTTAGAAAATTGGAAACATCTGTAGGTGTCCTCAATTGTTTTGTCCCATTGGGGGTTTTGTAATGGCAGTCGATTTTGGACCCGTTCCTCCTCAATGTCATTCTCCTTTTGAAACCTGTCGGAGTTTTGGGTGTGTTGGGCTTGTCTATAACCCATGTCCTCGACTTATCGTACTCTATATCAGCTTTATCATTGCAAGAAAATCCCGGCTTTTTGCTGCACACGAAAGGGTCCTCTATGAATTTGCTTCTGATTTCTTCGTACTCGTCTTCACTTGGAATTATCCTCCACTTGAAGCATTCCCCACACTGCGCACTCCATATCTCAACCCATTTCTTACCACCAATTTCTGGTTGCTGTCACAAGTAACAGAGTACAACGTCATGCAAAAACTGTTTATCAACTCAGATTTTCAATTCTTGGAGTAATCAAGAACAGAGGCGTTTCTTCAAACAGGTAGTGGGCACTAAGAACAATGCAAAACAAGGAAAAATGCTGCACAATTTGTGGTTGCTGTTATAAGAAACAGAGTACCAGCAGTATGCAACATTGTTTATCAACTCAGATTTTCAATTCTTGGTGTCAAGAGCAGAGACATTTCATCAAACAGGTAGTGAGCAGTGTTCACAATGCAAAGCAAATAAAAATGCCACACGATTTTCATTGAACTCAAAATTTCAGTCCAAAATACAAGAGAATTACTTAGGCCTGCGACAAGAGATTAGTACTATTTTGATAAAAAAAAAAAAAAAAAAAAAAAAAAAAAAAAAAAAAAAAAACTCGCACAAACACACATAAACGGAAACAGATGCAGGATTATTGTGTATGAAACGAAGAGAATACCGTTTTGGGCTGCTGGGGAGTCGTCTTCTCCGTACTAATTTTCTTCATTTCTCAGATTCTAATCTGTCGCAACTTTCCTATCACAAATC